CCAATGAACGAAGAGGAATTGACAATTTAAATAATGTAGAAAATTCGTAATATAAAATACCGTGAGTCTTTGTAAGGTCTATTTTCAATCCAAATTGCAACGAGCTAGTATTTTGTACCATATTTCTTCAATCTGAGAATGGTAAGCCAAAGCAAGTTCGTTTTGTGCACTTTCGTCTAGTTAGTCAAGAACATTGTTTTCCCCTTTTAAGCAATAAAATTTATTGGCCGAATTAATTTGAACTTATATTCAGAAAATTTGCTAAGGAAGCAATAAGCAATAAAAGTAGGTATTCCTTTTAATTCAAAATTGTAAACATAATATTAAAGTAATTAGTGAAAGTTTTTTTTTTTTTAGTATATCATAATTGATAAATATAAGTTTTTTGAGCATTTACCCAAGTTGTATTAACTAACGAATAGAAATAAATTTGTACTTGTGTATTTTTTCCCCACGAAAAACTAGTACTGGTCATATTGACGAAGTTATCTATAATTGGTCAAACTTAGCCCCGGAAAAAAAGGTTGGAAAAAGCTGAAAAGGAAAGGTAGAGAATGGCTTAATATTTCCACAAGCATTATTGTGATTTTCGTTTTTGACAAAAAAGAGCTTGTTGGTTGCGGGGATAGGGTACTAAAGCAGTGGCCGATGTAGTATTAGAGCTATCGATTTAACTAAATTTAATATGGAATAACCTAACATGGAATTTATATATATATATAATAAATTTTAATAGATATTAAATTATACTCACTCCGTTTCAATTTATGTGAACTTATTTGAGTGATCACGAAATTTAAGAAAATAAAGAAGATTTTTAAACTTGTGGTGTAAAATGAGGCATATATATTTTGTGTTTCTAAAAATCATTGCATAAATGTAAATTGTTTCCAAATAAGTAAAGATGTCATTCTTTTTTGCACCAACTAAAAAGAAATAAGTTCATATAAATTGAAACGGATGGAGTATTAAATTATAACTTTATAATTTTAAGGATTAAACTCATCAAATTAAAATGATGATTTCACTTCTTTGCTAAGGTCATACTTGAAATAATATCTTCCATCACTTATATAGACTGTTTGGCCAAGTTTTAAAAATTGATTTTCTTAAAATTACTTTTCAAAAAAGTATTTTTGGTGATAAGTAGTTTGTGTTTGACTAATTAATTTGAAAAGTACTTTTGAACAGTAACTAGTATTTGACCAAGCTTTTGAAAACCGTTTCTAAGTGTATTTTTCTCAAAAGTGTTTTTCAAAAAAGTATTTTTGGAGAGAATTAATTATTTTTTTGTTCTAAAAAATTGCTTCTGCTTCTCCTCAAAAATATTTTTTTTCATCTAAAAGCTTGGCCAAACACCTCAAGTTTTGACCAAAAAAATACTTTTGACCCAAAAAAAAATGGCCAAACAGACTATTATTCAGCAACATCACATCAAGACATCACATTCTATTAGAGATTCCAAAACCAACCAATAAACGAAGTTGAAAAGAAAAGAAAAGAAAAGAAAGAAAAGGAAAAGAGAGGAAACAGAATGGACAGAAAATGACTAAATGCATAACGTAAATGACTGTTGACTTTAAATATTTTTTTCACTTTTAGTTCAATTAAATATTGTCCAAACACCGAGAATTTTAGTCAAATTCTTTTTATTCTAATTTTATTGGACATTTTTACTTATCATAATTCATAGCAAAATATCTAATGAGTTAGTTGAGGTAAATAAAAATTAAACATACATACACGTCATAAAAAGTGACGACATAAAAAAGTAGCAGCGCGTTACTATTAGTTGTTGACCAAAGGCTGTTTCTTTGCGATAGCGCGGTCTTTTTTTTCAGATAGAAACTTTCCTAATCTTTAAATATAACAAAAATGGTCCTTTGATTTTGACCCCCCAATTCCCAAGGCATTCAAGAGAGTCTGCTACTTTTTTCTTTTCTTATTTAGGGCCCGTTTCGCCATATATATATTTTTTTTTTTTCTGAATTAGTGTTCACTCGAAATTGAATTTTAAAATTTTTCAGAAATTTTAAAAACTGCAAAAGTTATTTTTCAAATTTTTTATTTCAAATTATTCGCATAAATAAAAAATATTTTCAAATTATATTCATGTTCAAACACAACTTTAATTTTCAAATACGCTTTGCACTTGATTTTTTTTAAATTTTATTTTGAAATTTAACAATTCTTATATCCAAAAGCCCACATAACCTTTTTTTCTTGTCTATCTCTTATCTTTGTTCTTTTTATGTCCTAGACGCGCTAAAAGTTAATGCCTTTTTTTTTTAACATCACTAGTCTCTCGGTACGCGTCTTGTGCGTGTATTTCGTGTCAATGAGAATAAACTTTTTAAAATATGTAAGTAATATTCAAAATATGTGTCTGTATTATAAAATAATAAAAATTAAGACAAAATTGGAAGTTTTAAAAAAAAAAAAAGATAAATATAAATTATATTTAGGGGTTTATTTGAGTCCAGTCTTGTATTTTTATAGTTTCTTCCAGTACCTATTTCATTATATCAAAGTATTATAGGGGGATAGCGTTGAAAGAAGGTCGTTCATCTTTATATGGCACTATTTTTAGGAGAAAAATGAAATTATGTATATTAAAATATACATTGTTTAGGAATATTACAGACCATAGTTATGTCATTTAGGACATTTTGGTTACGAGTCCAGCCAACTTAGTACAAATACTATTCAAATCACTTTAACAAACTCTGTTCCTTGTTATGGAACTTGAATAAAGAACATATAATTCTATGATAATTATTACTATGATTGATTAACAACAATTGAAATATTTGTCTCTCGAAACTTTTATCCTTTGTATCTTCCTAGTTGTCCTTCGCAAAACTTACTTTGGTTCTATCCCAAATCGGTATCATATGTCGGTTGATAGAAAGATTGTTTTATCAAAATATTGAACTAACCTAGTAGCAACAATATTTTGACAATGCTTATCAAACCTCTAATAAAAGATGAAAATATTATTTTATCTAACCAACTTTATCTCCTCTACATTCTCTAGTCATGATACTACCAGCTATATTTATAATGTTTTCCTTCTAAAGTTTAATTGGTCCACCTAAATATACTCAAGCCACGTGTTTCGAATTTGATATACCGAGCAACTTGAGCTCGCACAACAATTAACATTTTTAATTACTATAAAACATAAGGCAAAATAATCTTAAAGTAATAAGATTTTGAATTTATATTATGAGTTAGAATGCCTAACTATTTTTTTGTTACGGAATGCAATGATCTAAAGTCTAAACAACTTGTACAAAATCTATAAATAAGTCATTAAACTGATAATCATATATGAAAAATTGTAAAAAATAAAAAAAAATACGATTTAGAACAGGATAAGGGTTGACTCGTAATGTGGGTACCAAAAAAAAAGGTCTATAGGCTCAAAATGATTGACTACGGATAATGTTATCAGTGGTAGGCAAATAGGATCAAGGGTCAATCAAATAAATGCCTATATCATTTCCTAGACCCACAAGACTTAATCATTTCACTTCGACTTACACACGGGGCAAGTTCTAGACTAACAAGGGTGTAACGACCCGGCCGATTATTTTGAGACTAATAGTCCCGATCCCCTATTAACTACTTTCCCCAAATCCTTTTCTGCTATTGTGACTTGCCGGGATAATTGGTTTTGAGTTTCGGAGTGTTTTGGGACACTTAGTCCCTAAATAATAGTTTAAGCCTTAGAATTTGGACCGTAGTCGAAACTGTGTGAAGATGACTCCGAAATAGAATTATGTCCATTACGTTAGCTCCGTTAGGTGATTTTGGGTTTAGTAGCATGTCCAGATTGTATTTTAAACACAACAAAAATTAAAAGGTTTACCTCAAATATAAATAAATTTTGCCTCTAGAGACGTTGTTACTAACGTATCCAAACCCACAAATTTTTAAGAGCTTCTTCCAATGATCAATTGTAAGATACCTACAACAATTAAAACGAAAATAAAAGTTGTTAACAAAATAAAGCTACATACAATAATTAAAACGAAAACAAAGTTGTTACAAAAGATATGTAGCATAATAAAGGATCCTAAATCTAAAGTAAATCCTAAACCTAAACAAACAAGAGACATAAGTAAATATTTATTGGTAAAAGAATGAGTTTTTGATCAATATTATCCCTTATCTTTGAGGGTAGGTCTATTTTGGTCCCTCAAATATAATTCTGAGCATATTTAGTCCCTTAAGTATGCTAAAATGGAGCACTTTTAGTCTCATTGACACAATATGTTCAAAAACTAACGGTGTTACCCAACTCTGATTCATGAATCAAATCTTCTGCTCTGAAGCAAAATGTTTCCTCTCCTTTTATTGGATAACGCAAATTATCACTTTAATTCCTCATTTTTAGATAATGTCTTTTAAAATTTTGACCTTGAAAATATTTCCTTATGTGTCAGTTTTCAATGAGAAAATGACACTGTATAGCCGCTGCAAAAATAATAGTCAAAAAAATATATAAAATTTGTATATATATACATTTAAAAATTTCGGTTGATTTTTTCAAAAAGAAAAGTTAAAATTTGAAGAAAATAGAGTTGTCAGGATCAATTCTAAGCATATTATTGAAGCAAACGAATAACGAGGTTATATTACCACTTTTAGCCCGTGCCAGAAACTATTTATATATNAATACTATTATCAATAACATTCATTATATTATCGCAAATCATAGTCCTGAACATAAATAAATTTAATACAAAATTATTATTTTTATAATGAACTATATGATACACTATTATATGACCGAGAAGACGAAACAATATCCTTACAAAATAATATTTGGCCCAAAACCGACAAAATTTAGAGGTATCGCCAAACATGTGTTTGAAAAATAAAACCAAAAGTTTATTTTGGTAAAATTTATACGGGTCCATAGATTAACAACATGTCTTTTTCTGTCTGGTTTTGGCCTTTTCTGTTACCATTTTAAATTGGGTTTGAACTCATTGAAGGCTATTTAAAGCAAATGACTGTGTTTCTGACTGCATGGTTCTTGAAAATTTTCTTCTTTTAAGAAAAAGAAGTGTTTTTGAACTGGCAATTCTTGAAATTTTGGTGGAAATTTTATGAGTTTTGGAGATGTGGAGTTGGGTTCTGTGAAGAGAGTTTTTTGAACTTTTTGCACAGTTGAATAAAGTACTGAAACTGTATTGAAGTTGGTTTTTCATCTTAAGCAGAGAAGGGGTTCTGTATTTTCTCCTATAGGTAAGAATTCTTTAAATTTTGTTAACTTTATTCATGGTAATTATGAAAAAATTACAACCTTTTGAAGTTCTAAATTTTAATGGTTATTGCTATAATCTGTTTGTTTTTCAATTGATTTGCGATGTCACATGTTTCATTAAAAATATTACCTCTAAGAAACCATGGATATTTGTGTGGTTATAAATTAGTATCTCATTAAGGATACAACAACAATAACAAAAAACCTAGTGAAATCCGACAATTGTTATATGAATGTTACCCCTATCTCGAAGGTAAAGACCGTTTCCATAAACCCTCGGCTTATAAGGGTAATATGAGAAATTTAAAGTTAAATTATTTTTTAACGTAGAAATGACAATTCTTTATAGGACTAAAAAAGAAAGTGTTCCATATATATTGGGATAGAGAGAGTAATATTTAATCCTATGCTAAATTTGACACTCCGTATTCTGCTCTTTTGACCAGAAATTATTATGGGGATTGATGTTGCTGAAGTAAGTGAGACACCGCCGTCTCATCATGCTATTAAGGTATATAATACTATGCTCCTATCTCTCTTTGCTTTAATTCCTTATCTGCATCTCTATGGGATTGTTCGTGTAAAGAGATGGCCTGGCAGTGAGAATTCATATAGCCGAACCCAACTTGTTTGTGACTGAGAGTGTAAATGTTTTTCTGTTGTTGTTATTGTTCGTATAATGAGAGGTGTTACTCTAGAGTAGGCTTGTGACCTTGTATTAGTCTTGGTATCTTTACATTAAGTAATTGTACAAGTTGTTATTAACCCTTTTTCTTGGTTAATTACAGAGTTAAAAGAAGAGGTTTTTACATTAATTGGACTTTGTGCAAAAGGTGTTCATGGTTGGATTTGAATAGTCCTAGTCTAGATTCCAAGAATGGAACTGAAAAACTATTAGAAAATTCTGTTGGTTGGGATTTTTGTTTTTGAAACGTCGTTAGTTTTCTAAATGCAATGATGTATCTTTCAGTTTTCATGTATTCTTTCCTTGTCATTACTTCCACACCACCTATTCTAAATTAACTCGATCGAGGTGGAAGGTATCCCGTGGAATTAGCCTAGGTGCGGACAAGCTGGCCCGGACACCATGATTATTGAAAAAAAAAAAAACTCAGATCGATTGTCTTATGATTGGTTTTGATGACTACAGGTGCATCGTCTAATGTGCATGGAACTAATTCAGTTAGTAAGTAGAGTTTCGATATTACTTCCTGAAATTGAAGCAGCCCGTCCTCGATGCTTAGAGGCCCTTAGCCTGTTGAACACTGAAATTTTCAAAACCAAGACACTGATTCAGCACTGCAGTGAATCTAGTAAGCTATACTTGGTACGCACTCTCGACCAAGCTAAGCCAACCAGCTTTGTGTTAACTGTTTTTGTCAAATATATCTCGCAAATTTATGAACATACTTTGATGATACTCTATTGGCTTCATTCACTGAATAGCAATCTGTATTGTGTTTTTTCAGGCACTAACAGGAGCTGTCATACTTTCACGATGTGATAGATCAAGAAACTTGCTTAAGCAAAGCTTAGGCCAAGTGCAAAATATGGTTCCAGTATCGTTGGCTTCAGAGGTCAGTCTGAATACATTCCTTTGAGAAAATCATCTATGCTTAGGAACTGTCATTATGGATGAAAGAACTGCTGTAAAGCAAGCTGTGACAACCACAACTACACGTTGTTAGCACAAGTCGAGATAGATTGCTTTTGATCGATTCTCCTGCAATAATTCCCAAAATTGGAGCTATAAGCGTTTGAATTAGACCAAAATATTATAACAGCTACCTCTGAATCATACAAAATATAAATAAGTTTACTATCCGTCATACTTCTGAACCATCATCTTGTACTTGTCGGTCCAAGTGTATCCCTCGGCTTTTGATTATGGTGTGAGTTTAAATGTCATTTTTTCATTTCATGTTGTCCCTTCTTTATCCCGTTTTTTTTAAAACCTGGTTGGTTACTATATTTGTTTGGTGTCCTGTGGCAATCCACTTTAATGAAAAATATTGGCTGCAGATTTCGCGACTGATTGCTGAACTGAAGGGTGCGATATTCAGCTTGGATCCATCTGAAGAGGAGGCAGGGAAGGTTGTGATGGAATTACTTCATCAGTATGTGACAACAGATTCAGCGGAAGAACATGCCTTTGAGGCAACTCAAGTTGCTATGCGGAGGCTTCATATCACATCTCTACTGACTCTTTTAATAGAGAAAAGATCCATAAAAAGGATGCTGGGTAGAGTTGGGGACGGTGAGAAAAGGAAAATCTTATTGCTTTTTTTGAATATCCTCAGTAAGCATGGAAAATCAGTTGTGACACAGCAAACAGAGAGCGGCTCTCTGCAGCGGGAAGACTTTTACCTGTATGCAAATCAATGTGAAGCAAAATCTCGTATGAGATGTCGATCTGACGATGCTCAAGTGGACATACTGAGGAGCTCTCGACCACCGGATGAGTTTAAATGTCCTTTGTCTTTGAGAATAATGCACGATCCTGTCGTAATTGCCTCTGGACAAACATATGACAGATTTTGGATTCAGAAATGGTTTGCTGAAGGTCACGATACATGTCCAATGAATAAAAGGAATTTGGCCCACTTGTCTTTGACCCCGAATTACACAATGAAGGACCTAATATCAGGGTGGAGTGCAACACATGGAGTCAGTGTTCCTGACCCGAGCATGGAGGCGGCAGCGGCTCACTCATTTAAATCTTCTTTGAATTCAATTGCTAGCTTGAGCAGCTCAGTGAATGATTTACGTCTTCCTATAGAATTCAGCAATTTATCTTGTGGATTGCCAGATGCTGGTCTTGTGTCTGTTGCTAAGACACCAAATGACTTCGATGTGGTTTCAGGGGAAAGCAATGGCAGTATTCACAAAATTCAATCTGGTATAAGCATTCAAGATATGGACCTGAATCTCTTAACCGGGTTCAGTTCACTTTCTTGGGAGTCACAATGCATCTTGGTTGGAGATATTAGTAACTTTTTCAAACATAACGATCAAGCTTGCAATTGGATGTCATCCGAGGATTTTGTTCTAACAATGGTTAGATTTTTGAAAGATGCACATGATTTCAATGATCTAAATGCACAAATAATGGGATGTCTAACATTGACAACAGTTTTGCAGAAATGCAGGTAAACCTTTACTCCGCTCTGCTGTGTGTGTGTGTGGTGTGTGTGTTCATGTTAATTTTTTGTGAAATTGTTTCTAACTTCATACCCCTTTTAAGGTAAGGCTTACCAGCAGGGTTGGATCTAGTAGTCTACATATGGGTTCAAATTAACACATAACCTTTAGCTTAGACCTAGATTTATGTGTAAAATCTATTAGAATTATTGAAACTATTAAACTATGAACCCAAAACTTAAATAAGGTGATGGGTTCAGTCGTTCTTACCCGAGTCCTGAACCCATAAAATTTAAATCCTTGATATGCCTCTGCTAGAGTGTCGAATGAATTTGGTTCAAGTTGGTTCACCGCCTTTTTGTACAATTTATTTCCAATTGGTTAAGGCCTTTCAGAGCATTAGGTTAGGCTGTCTACATCACACCCCTTGGGTGCGGCCCTTCCTCGGACCCTGCGTGAATGCGGGATGCTTTGTGCGCCGAGCTGCCCTAATAGAAAAAAAATGGTTAAGGCCTTTCAGAAGCATGCTGGTTTAGAATTAAATATGATACTAGAATGTGAAGTAGTAGTCCTGCTTAATGTTTAATGATGCAAGCTCAACTCATCTGTTGTTTTCTTTTGCTTTTTGGCTTCTCTATTGTTCTTTTATCTTGTGTTTGTTTCCTCACACTAATCCTACATGGGTTGTTTTGTATCAGGAGCAATTTTCCAGATTTGAATGACGATGCTTTTGCACTTTTGGTATCATTTCTTGAAACTGAGGTTTCTAAAGAAGCCCTTGCCGTATTAAAAGTATTGTCCTGCCACCAATATTGTCCACAAAAAATTGTGGCTTCTGGTGCTCTGACTCCCATTCTAGAGATGCTTGATGCCCAGAATGCAGAATTGAATGAAACAGCCATCAAAATATTACGTAGTTTGTCTGAAAATAGCAGAATTGTTTCCTTGATTACACCTTCAGAATTCATTCCCAAGTTGATTCCTTTTCTAGAAGATACAGCTCTAGCAAGCGACACTCTTGTCATTCTGAAAAAATTGTGCATCACTGAAGATGCTACGACTTCTGTAGCTGAAGCCGATGGATGCATTGCTTCAGTTGTGAAACTACTCGACAGTGAGAATCGTGAGGATCAGGAGCATGCAGTGGCTCTTCTTCTTTCTTTGTGTTCTCAATGCTTTCAATACTGTCGGCTGGCCATGGATGAAGGGATCATCCTTGATCTTTTCAACATATCTGTCAACGGGAATAGCAGAGGAAAGACAATGGCTTTGAAGCTACTGACACTGTTGAGAGGTGAATTTAGTAATAATGAAGAATCTTCAGGTGCGGATGTTGACATTTCTAGAGGCTCTACCATTAACCTTACACTGCAGAAATCTAGTTCAAAGGCACCTGGATTTTTAAAGAAGTTATTCTCAAAACAATGCCGCGCATAGGGGGAGCTTAGGGCACCGGGCTGTCCTTTTATTCTCAAAACAAGGTTCGTCTGCTCCTATTAGTAAAAAATAGTACTCAATATATATCTTAGAATGAAGGTTGCCAGTCGTTCCGACTACAGAGAGTATAATGTTAGCTGATTATATGTCCTCATGACTGTCTGTACGAGTTGTGCTGATTTCTTGTAAATAAATATGTATAGTATTGCTTGATATGATATGTACAATTTCTCTACTCTAGTTTTTGTTAGTGTTGAGAAGGAAGACTTTGCTGAGACTTGTAGCTGTAAAATATCTTCCTTTGCTATTTCTTTTGGTAAGTAGATGGATACTGTTAAATGGTCTATGAAATACTAATGAAATGTGTATAAATCTTCTTACCCTTAGCATGAAATTGTGTCTATTTTGCAAAAGTTTATGGTGGAAACTAAACATGTTAAAGTGGTCCTAGAGGACCTATCTACTTGTAACAATTTTTGTATTCTGTCCTTGTTGAGTTACTTCTTGAAAGAAAAAATGATACCAGGAAACTAGAAAATTCAAAGACCTTGCTTGTTTCTGCATTTTTTCACCTTCTGCATACAAGAGAAAAACAGCAATGAGATGCCTATAGATTATAGAAATGGCAAACAGGGCGAGGTCAAACGAGGCAATTGAAGTCTTACTTCGCAAAAGTCTTAATCCGCCTTGCCCTGCCATGCCGAGCAATCTTATCTATTTTTGTCCGCCTCGCCCTGCATAGACATGCATGGTCCCGTCCGAGTTCTGTTTTATTTTTCTTTTCTTCTTTTCACTGTTATTTAGCTAAACTTGATGAGTTTAAAGCTGTAAAAGTTGTTAATTTTCATTAAACCCGCCTCTTGCCTTGTCCTGCATTTGACTTTAAGAAAATTGTTTTAGCTCTCCTTATCCTGCCCTACATAAGAGCTCCCTTGCCCTGCTCATGTGGGAGCCACATAGACAGAAGGGTGGTTAGTTGAATACTCTTTATCGAAAAATTGTATTGTGCATACAGAAGAAAAACAATTTTAAGATGTCTACGGAATAGAGATAGTTAACAGGGCGAGGTCAGACGAGGCAATTTAAGTCTTACTCGCAAAAGTTTTAATCCGCCTGGCCCTGCTGAGCAATCTTCTCTATCTTTTAACCTGCCTCGCCCTGCATAGACATGCATGGTCCTGTCTAAGTTTTGTTTTATTTTTCTTTTCTTCTTTCTACTGTTGTTTAGCTAAATTTGACGAGTTTAAAGCTATAAAAGTTGTTAATTTTTATTTAACCCGCTTTATCCTGTATCTGATTTTATGAAAATTGTTTTAATTCGCTTTATCCTGTCATGCATAAGAGCACCCTTGACCTTGCCCTGCACCCATCCGGGGCAAGGCCACATAGACAGAAGGGCGTTTAACACCCTTGATCAAAAAGTTGTACTATGTACATAAACATTATACTGCATATATAGGTAAAAAATTACTTGTTATTCATATATATTAAATCTTAAATATTCTTAGTGAAATTCCTGGCTTATGTCACAGCCTGCCCGGTTGCCATCATCTGTACTGTTGAAGAAAGTTTCCAATAGTATTTTGCAATCAGTAATTAGGCCTACTTGAAGATTGTAATCTCACAGCAGTTTGCTGCTAAAATATTCAGATGGTCTTAAGGTGCAATGGATAATTGGAGGCCCATACATAGCTGTAGGGGGCAGTTGTGTAATGCCTTTACAGCAGTGAGATTTTAGAATAGGTCCCAACTTTTCTAGATTCATACCACCTTTTTCTTGCAATGTGTACTTAATTACTAATTAACAGATGAACATATGAGTAATGAGTTTAATTTCTTGGTTTTTGGCTACTGGTTTGTATGACAGCCAAGTATACTGTCCCTCTTGTTCTCTCAACTTTTTGTTGGCGTCCACTCAATATTAGTTAGATTGGAAATAATACACTGTAGGGTCTAATTTAGGTCCATCCCCGTTCTGTACATTTTGTGCTTAGGGATTTCAATAATGAGAATGTTACAATAGTCTGCCAAATTAGGTGATTACTTTTTTTAGCCGGTATATATTGATTTAAAGGCAGTAAGGTCTGCGTACACTCTGTCCTCCCCAGATCTCACTTGTGGGACTACACTGGGTATTAGGGGTGTCAATGGTTCGGTTCGGAAGGTTATTTTCTAAAATCTGTACCATACCAATTTTTCTGTTATTCTATTATGCATAACCAAAATTAGACTTTTCGAAACCGTCCCAATCATATCGGTTTCTCTTCGGTATCGGTATGGTTCGGTTAATTTTTTTTTTTTTAAATGTCATGTAAAAGTCACTAGTAAAAGTAGAATGCAATAACATACTTACTTTTATAGAACTTAGCAAACTCTCTAGATATTTTTACTCTTTAAAGAGTGATGAATTAAGAAAATATTAAAAAAGGCCAGAGTATAGATCCATCAACTATTCTACAACAGCGTAAAAGAAACTAAACAAAGATATTAACCGAGTGAAAAGATATTAACCAAGTTAGAACTCAAGAATAAAGTTTATAGAAGATTAAATATTCAAAAAGATAAATTTAAATCATATGAAAGGAAACATATTCAATACATTGTAGTTTGCTACTAATAGCTAGAATAACTTGTGTCTTGCTAGTGAATATGTTGGAAATAATTCAGTTTCAATAGGAGTAGCATTATAGGTCTGAGAATTAAGATTTTGAGTTTAATTACTTGTTTGCTTGTAACCGTTTTCACAATTTCAAGGCCCAAGAAAATTTTTAATACATTATTATTCTTAAACTTAATATATAAATCTATTTTTTACATGTAAATTTATTCAGTACGGTTCGGTATTTTTTTGGTTTATTTTTATAAAATAAAAAATCTATCCTAATTATTGGTATGGTTATAGATATATATAAAAACCTATGGTTTTATTTAAAGAAGCCTAAAAATCGGTTCGGTACGGTATGGTTCAGTCAGTTTAGTCGGTTTTTAAATATCCATTGACACCCCTACCGGGTATGTTATTGTTGTATATGCCAGTTATTTTTCGTTTTAGAGATTAGGTGAACGACTATTTGGATTAATTCTTCTTCAATAATTGAATGCGCAGGCAGATTCAGTACTTTAAGCCAGTAAATGTAAATAGGAAATATTTATGTACTTACTCTTTTCATGGTGTTTTTATTTATCCTATGATTGTTGTTGTGATACTAATATTGTCTCTTTTTTGCCCTTTTGTCCTTTTTTTTTTTGAGCCGAGGGTCTTTCGGAAACAGCCTCTCTACTCCTTCGGGGTAGGGTAAGGTCTGCGTACACACTACCTTCCCCAGACCCCATTAGTGAGATTTTACTGGATTGTTGTTGTTGTTGTTGTTATTATGTACTTACTCTCAATTTATGTGTTATTGTTTAGATTTCGAGAGTCAAATTTTTTAATTTTGGCCATCAGTTCGAACATAGAATCTTTAAGTTCTTTTAAATAAATTATGTAAAAAGTACTATAAGTTACAATAATTAGCAATTTAAAATATTTAAAAGGTATATTAAAAAATTACTACTGTAAAAAAAAAAAAAGAAGCTCGTTCAACTCTCAAAATTTGAACAAGCCGCATAAATTGGGACGATAAAATTTTCTAAGATAGAGATAGATAGAGACGAAAAAAGGTTTGAAATGGTGAGCTATTTCCAGGCTTCCAATTATTCAACTCACTTTACTCCTTCCAATTAAAGCGAAAAAAGTATTTCTCCCTTTTCTCCGGGGGGACACAAAATTTATGGGTTAGTCCATTTTTTGGAAAGAAAGAAAGTGAAAATATCATATTCTTTCATTGTCTTTGTTCTAAATTTTGGCTTTCCCACTGGAAAGAGAGAAGAAAAAGATCATTGACATTTAATAAGATTTGGAAACATTGCATATTTCAACATTCATATCACATCAGAATTATTCCAATTACCAATTCTAGGATTTGCATCATTTTTTTAAGGATTTGCACCATTGCTTGCTTCTCGGGAGAAATTCAAAAATAGCCAGATTTACAAGTGGCAATTGAAAAATAGTCACAGTTTCAAAAGTAATCGAAATTTAGCCACTTTTCATGTAAAGATAAATCTAAACGAAAATACTATTCAAAATCCGGAAAATATTCCAGTATAATATACTTGAACTCCAGTATAAATATACTAGAGTTCCAGTATAATATACCGGTCCAGCATAATATGCTGGAAGTTCATACACAGGTGCTCCAATCTTCAATATTTTATGCTGGAACTTTCCGCGTGTTGGAGTTCCAGCATAATATGCTGGAAGTTCATACACAGGTGCTCCAATCTTCAATATTTTATGCTGGAACTTTCCGCGTGTTGGAGTTCCAGCATAATATGCTGGAAGTTCATACACAGGTGCTCCAATCTTCAATATTTTATGCTGGAACTTTCCGCGTGTTGGAGTTCCAGCATAATATGCTGGAAGTTCATACACAGGTGCACCAATCTCCAGTATATTATGCTGGACCGGTCCGTGTTGCAGCAAAATAGTGATTATTTTTTAATGACTTTGTAAAAACTGACTATTTTTTAATTACCTAGTCAAAAAACTGGCTAGCCCGTGCTATTTTTACCTATTTCTTTTCTTGGGCATTTTAGGTAGCGAACCAGAATACTACGCTTAAGTGGATAAGGAGAATTGCATGGATAAATTCAATATGTTGACTTGCTTGACACTTGTTCTTCATCCTTTCACAAATCATATTAAAATATTTACCAATGATTGTTGAGAAAAAGAAATATAGAAGATAGATGGAACTTGGAAGGTTAAGGATATATGTAAAGGAGGGAAATTAAAAAGTCGTTATGTTGGGTTGGATAAAGGTATAGGTGTTTTCTTTATAATAGGGATTACTTCACTCTAGTGAGTTCATCCTTTTACTACTGCAAGATGTATTTAAGTTTTTTTTGGTAACAACCGTGAATATTACCGTACAAACAAACATGAGTGCACAATATACCTAAAGAGCACTTTACCACACATCCACCTTCTAGGAAAGTTAATGTGAGAAGTTAGGCCTCGGAATATGAATCCTAGTTACTAATGATTTTTTGTATCAGTCTATTGTTCCTATAGGTTTTCCTTGTCTGTATTAGAAGCTTTAATCTATGCACAATTTCCTTCTTAATCTGTTCTACAACTAACTCAATATTTACATTTTGTTTCTTAAAGATGGCCCAGTTCATTACCCTCCACGTTTGGTAGATGATAGCTCCCCCTATAGTGGCTACAGTTTCCTTGGCAGCCTGCTTCCAATGCTTTCTTCTGATCCTTTCCATTACCCTCTTCACCTCTCCGGCTTGGAATTGGATGCTCAGCCAGTTTTCCAGTTCCTTGCGAAGTGTGCTGATCCATGCACAATCTGCAAATAGA